GGACTGCAAGGTTCACGAAACGTTGGCATTCCAAGAATGGATTTGAACACGGAGAAAACCCGCGAAACGCAAGATTGTCAAATATGTATATGTACATACAGGACGTCTCATAATTCACCCGATAACGTTCGTGGGCAGGTAAAGTGGACTAAAGTGAGTCGAAAAGTGCTGTATCATTCTGCAATTTTCGCAATAGTTAACGAAATATTAATTACTAAAAATTGCCGAATATTGGTCTTCAATAACTTTTATCTCAAATACTATCAACTTTACAAAAAAACTGCAAGAGACAAAAATTGTTTATTTTCTTCTCATAGAACTCTAAGAATTTTTTAAGGACTTTTTATTAACTTTTTAGTACTGCATTTTCTTATTTTGACCAACATGAGAGAATACGGTATTAAGAAATTCCGAAAAAATTCTCAGAACTTTATGAGAAGAAAATAAACAATTTTTTTTCTCTTACAGATTTTGAGAAAACTATTATTGAAGACCAATATTCGGCAATTTTTAGTAATTAATATCTTGTTTACTATTGCGAAAATTGGAAAATGGTAGAGGACTTTTCGACTCAGTCCGCTCTATCTGCCCACAAACGTTGTCGGATAAATTACGGGACATCCTATACATATATACACATGGGAACAACATACATACATATATTATTTTTGCGTATAGCGTCAATAATTCTGTGTGAATACTATATGTAATAAAATTTACCTCTTCTTTGGCGCTTTCATTTATTGGTATTTCCGGTTTTTCTGTATTATGCATAACGTTTTCCTTCGAATAATTACTTGACATAATTTTCTGTATCTAAAACCAATTATTTCGATGAATTATCATCGATAATAATGATTCAATTTTATTTTATAAGATTGTAACGTAATTCTAATATAATATAATCTCTCCTTAACATAATTAAATTAAAATACTATATATGTCTATGATATATGTATACATGCATAAAGCATTTGAAGGAAATAAATAATTTTAACAAAATGATTTAAAAATAAGTATATTGGATTTCTAAAATATACCTTTTCCTGTCGTATTTTTCGACTGAATAACTTAAACCGAATAGTTCTTATTATTAGTTCTTCCTTAACATATGTTACGAATTTACTTAAAATCTGAAACAAGTTATTTTCGTATTAATAGGGAGATTATTGTTGAAAGTAAGAAATGTAAAAAACAAGCAAGATAAAGAACAAATACTATATATGTTAGCAAGATCTAATAGCATGATGAAATTAATCGGATAATCTTGAAAAAAGAAATTAATTGGACCAAACTGATCAATGTACTGATCGCACATCTGTTAGCACATGCTGATATTTTTTATTGGATAAGATATATTAAGTATATCCTATTACAAATATAGTTTCCTCACAAACTATCAAAAAGGCTCTGTATAATAAGAAGTAGAATATATAATTTACCGCGTTTTCTTGCTTTTCAATATTTCCATGGTTAAGAATAACAGTTAATGCCGCAAACACATTGACTTCTCTATAGAAAAAAATAACTGTATATAATCCAATAAGTAGCACAGCAGCGTCTGCAAGGCGTTAAAAAACACTTATACACTTTTTTAGCGCTTTTTTAACGTCTTGGCGCTGTGTGTTACTTGGAAATGTGTTACGAATATTTTTAATATATATTTGTCATACATATATTAATATAAACGTTTTAGAAATTTATAATATAATTTAGAAAAGAGATATCATACCTGGGTTTTATTTTTTCGAAATTCTCCAATATATATTCCAATATTTCAATGTTCTTTGCATGCTTTGCGATAATACGAAGGAAAATATTAACACGATCATTAATTTTTAGTGACATATTTTCCGTTATCTTATTTAAATATATTTGAATAATATTAGGATTTTCAGAGCAAGTCAAGTATTCTAAAATTTGTTTATCATGTTCCCTTTCAGATATATCCAGCATTTTCATCCAAATAGAACCGTTTGCTTTTATCAAACCTTTACAGAATGTCCATTCTTTCCACCATGGTAAAATTCTACAACGTGTAAGAAACATAATAAATAACTAATCTTGTATCAGACTTATTAAGTGCATCATATTAGAAAAAAATGTATGACTTAAAAATTATTAGAAATATTTCCCATATATACATATATAGGGTAACTTCGGTATATACGCCGCATCTATCAAAAGTTTAATTTATTAAGTATTATTTACTATGTTTATAGTAAATGAACTATATCAGTAAAAACTTTGTACTGTCTCGTACTACGAAAAAAATATTAGAAATCCGAAATATTTATTTTTCATACGAAAAAATAACTTTTTGAAACCTTTGCATTTTTGCCGTATATCTCATAGAAGTGGGATATATGACTATTTACATGGGAAGGGAGGTATGTATAGCTCACGAAAATTTTACAAATAATACATATAAATAAGATGTGTAATGACACAATAACTTATAAAATGTGTTTATAAAGTTTTATTAAGGAATATTAAGAATGGTAAATATATATATGAAATAATAAATAATAATTACAATCGTCCTACTTATATAAGTATTATGACATGAGATACATATTTCATATAATAAGTCTAAAAAATCGTGCGGACCGTTACTCTGAACATCCTGTATATATGCCTGGTTTATGCTACGGTCTTAATCTAAAATCCTAAAATTCAGCTAGTGGAATACAGATTTCAATTAAGACTAATTAAGACTGGCAGCTCTATTGGCTACAATTTAAGATTTTACGGTCAAGACCGAAGCATAAACCAAGCAATATATGTACTTGTGCTTTTCAGGATTGGTAAAATGCCATTCCAGTCTAGATGTGGCATTAATTCTGCAATCGGAGTCACCGAGCACACATGCCCACTTTGCAATTTCTTGTCTTAAACATTTAGTAAGATCATTCTCATTAGGAATTTCTTGATATCCTATTTTCTTAAAAAGCGTAGGCAAAATTTTACGCATCTCTTCCTAAAAATTATTAAGTAAACTAATAATATAAACTTTGTCATTTGTGTCGCTATTTTTGAAGAAAACAATGTGTTAAATATATATACACAGTATATGTTAAATACATATTAATAATAGTATTGTCGTTGCATACCATACTTATTCTAAAAGTTTCAATTCTTAGCAAAGAAATTATTAAAAAATCTAAATGTAATAAAATATAAAAATTTATACATACAATTGTGAACATTTTCTAAGTTGATTACATATTCTACTATGAAAAAACATGACTTTTTACTAAATTTCTTTAATTTTGTCTTCTGCAAAATTATTGAGTAAATTTTTAGAATATATTGTTAACTATAATTATTATTTCAAAATAAAAAAATATATAATCTTTAGATAGTAATTTTTAATTATGCGACAAACATAGCAATAGAACTGATATCATAATGTTTATAAAACAGTATAATATATTTAATTGACGAAATTTACTATATACCTCTAGTCCAATTTCCGAAAATGGAATAAAAATTGACATATATTCAAAAGCTTTGATCATAGGGTACCATGCTACATAATCTGTCTCTCGCGACAGGTAATGGCTAAGATTCCAAAATGTAGACAAACTTAATGTTTTTTCTTCTATTGCAAGATGAAATGCATCGTCAAGAATTTGAGCACGATTGAGAACATGTATGTTTTTATAATTGTCAGAATTTAAATAGTAGGCGATTCTTTGCCACATTGTTAGTTCATAATTAACGCGATAGTAGCCTGTTATATAACAAATAAAAATATTATCGATTAGATCCCTTGCGTTAATTTTATAAAACAAAGAATATATACGTATATATATGTATATACTTTTTTTGTAAAATAGATTTTTATAAAAAAGATTTTTATTGGAATTGGTAGGATATAATTTTATATGTATAATACATTAAAATAAATAATTAATTTAATGTATTAAAGTGCACACGACAGGGTTTACTATTGTTTGATATAGAATATGACAAATAACGTAGAATTTTAATATCTATACGCCGCATATACGCACAAAAACATATAATATAAAAAAAATGTAATAAATTTTACGTGTCAAAGATCTTACATAACATTATAATATTATGTTTTTGTAATAGG